TCAAAATCGAATTTGTGATTATTCGATTATCGTTACGAGGTAATCGTTACGTATAGATTTATTTTTTCGCCGGTTCTATTTGGTTATCCATTTTTTGAAAAAACTTATGTTTCCAAAGTGTTTCTATAACTTTACATATCATTTTAATTATAGGACTGAATAAGACTAAAATCAACATAAATAATAAAAAATATATTTTTAAATTAGTTGAAGAACAAGTATTATTCAGCATAAAAATTTAATTGAAGTTTAATTATTATTACTAGATATGATATTAAGTAATTTAAAATTATGCAAATTGTATATGATGAAAGTTGATATGTAAGATCTATGACACATCTAATATTATAATTTGGTTCTTAATTCGGTTCGATTCGGTATAAATTGCACTTAAGATAATATGACTCGATTGGATTGGACGTTATATATATATAGGACAATTTTTATCTCGAGTTTCAAGATTAAACTATGGAGATCGAATATGTTGTACGTTTGATATCATTATGTGTGATGCAGAAGTGTGCCGCCCTACCGTCGGGTAACGGCGCGAGGCCAACATCGCTAGTTTATCTATGATGGGATTTTTAGAATTTTAATTGAATTAGAGACCGCTAAATTAGAATTTCAATTGAATTTAATTAAGCGTTAAAGACCTCTAAATTAGAATTTCAATTGAATTTAGGTATTTTTTATGTGTTAGAAATTTTTAAGAATTTCACTTAAGAGTTAATGACTGAATCGGGTCAAAGCATTTCAACTCGATTGCATTCGACAAGTTTGCCGACTGTAATTATTTGTTTGAACTAGCCAATTTTTTTTTAAAAAAAAATAAGTTTTTATATATTTACTAATATTTTTAATATAAATAAAAAAAGAAATTTAATTATAATGGATATCTATAAGTTATTATTAATTAGTTTAAGTATTTAAAGGATTTAAATTTGATACAATATTTAATTACAATTTTTTGTATAAAAAAATAATTATTTAAAATATTATGTCACATACCTTATTAACCTTATAATAATAATATACATCTCACCTGCTCACTCAATCGGTCACAACCAAAAAAAAAAAAAA